AGCAGTGTAACCATAAGGTAGGCCTTGTTAGTTTAATTTGCCTTCGTCATAGTAAAAAAGTCGTGGGAGTCCTTTTGTGTGTGTCATTTGTACCTCTCCCTCGATTTATACGCAACGCGGATAAAAACAGAAAAGGTTTTTGGTGTTGTTTCCTTCGAGGATAAGTACGTGTGACCAGGGGTTGTTGTAACCGAATTCCGTGATGCTGTCCGCTGGGCTACTCGGACCCAGGGGACCCAAGCTATGGAGTGAATCAACTCGCTGACTGTTTATTCCGTTTCAGATGTTGGCCAACCATATGTGATTGTATTCAAACTTTCTTACTCACATCATTCTTTCTATGAAGGATTGGTTTGAGGTAGTGAGTTCACTCCATCATCAGAAATCACCCAGAAATCAAAGGAAACTACATTCCGAAAAGTGGTAGTTGGGGTCTAGCCCGTCCATCTGACAGAAACTTAACAGGAAATCACAGCTGCTATGGCATATCAGTTGGCATTTTTTGTTTTTCTTTCAATGTGAAGTCCTCGTGATTGCTTCACTACTACTTTACATCCGTAATACAGTGTCATTGTAAGCGGGAAGAAATAACGCTGGAGTCTGCAAGATGTTCTGGAATTTTTTATTCAGAACAAGACAAGAAATGCTCCTTAGGACGAAACCTTCCTTGTAGACAACATACACATATGTTTACTTTGAATAGCGATCAATATTCCACTCTATAGGCACTTGAATGTTTAAATAGATAAACATTCATCGATCCACTTGTGAAAATCGGCCGACTAGTATGGGTTTCAAGTAAATAGTTGACCATTTTCGAGGAATGGTGAAGATAGTTTTGTAAGTTTGTGGCCAAGTTGGACTACACAGAAACATGACCGATAGTGCCAGACATACTGGTTGATCGGAAATCGACGTGAGTAATCCTAAGGTAAAAACCTATGTCTCATGTGTCACGGGGAAATCTATCATGAAAAGTCAATTTTTACGAAACGGTAGCGCTTGGAGTAAAGGTGAGCATGAGTAGATTCTCGAGCACACTCAAGTTCTTCAGTATCGAACTGGCAGTTGACCATCCAAAAGTGTTCAACGGCTTTATGAGTAGTATGTTATGTTAAGAAAATACCTGTCCTTTAAACGATGTGAATCAAAATGGAAATTGGAGGCAGAATCGGCAGGTAGCAAGATAATGTGTGCTACATGAATGTTCTCTACACCTTTCAGAATGGTCACACCAAAAGACCTAGATGCTTGATTCCCACAGTGATTTGTTTCATCCGCGGCGCCCAGCACTTCATTTTTGATGGCCTACCTTTTCCGTTCTACAAGCTCTTCCCCATGAGACTACGAATAGTTTGTTCTAATGTTTGGCCACAACAACACTGGTGGTGGTTGAAGGTGGCAGACAGGCAGATAGGTAGTCAGACAGACAGACACAGACAGGGAGGTCAGCGGTTTTCCAAAAACGCGTCTAGGTCCTGGTTAGTAGATGCGTCCTTATCCGACACTTATCATCGACACTGCTTTGGCCGTATTAAGGTCAGCTCACGGAATAACAGGCCACCATCAAGCACGGATGTATGCAGTGGCTGGAATGATAGACAAAAATAACAGACGAATTTTGGGACAAGAAGACTACTGGCTATTTGTCTGACGATTGGACAGACAACTGTACCATAACCAACTGCGATTTTCGTTGGCTTTCCGTTACAGCTGTCAGTCATAAGATTCGTCATGGACTATCGAAATTTAGTGCCATGTTCAATGCAACCTACTACCATATGTGGCAACATTATCCGTATCCACATTTTTACGGACTCCGAAAGAACTACGGGTTCAAATGCTAGTTTTGGTAGGCATCAAAGACTTTGGTGTACCCTGCCTGGTTCTTATTGGACCAATGGACCATTCCACAGCTTCGTTCTGCTTTCTGTGGGTCCACACTAAAGAAGAGGGCACTGGTCTTGAGTGGAGCTCTCAGTGGAGCGCATCAGTAGTGTCGGGGTTTGACCCTCGGATATGCGAGGTGCGCATGTTACCGCTACTCAAGCTACGAACGCTGGACACAATTGAATTACCAAGTCTGAAAGGGCGAACGTGTTAACGATTTGGTGAAGTAATAGGCTTGTCCGGGGCTCGGATGACGACCGGTTAACTGTCGATCGATTGATACGCCCCTCAGAACCTCCGAGCCAGGTAGTGCCATGGACGCCTGAAACCTGCTGGAGATTTTTGATGAGTCTCTCTCTCTCTCTCCCCTCCAGGCGCGAGTTGGTCACACTGCTGACCAGCCTTTCTTGGCCGAACGGTTCAAGCTATTAGCCGGGAAGTCGCGGGTTCAAAACTCCCTGGAGCTTCATGAGATGCGCACTGTTGATGACTCCCAGTGAGAACGAAATCTCAGCTGAAAATTACCAAATCTCCTCACTGTTGATGACCTCCAAGAAAACTAGATTTTTGAGAGTCTCTCTCTCTCTATCCCCTCCAGGCGCGAGTTGGTCACACTGCTGACCAGCCTTTCTTGGCCGAACGGTTCAAGCTATTAGCCGGGAAGTCGCTGGTTCAAAACTCCCTGGAGCTTCATGAGATGCGCACTGTTGATGACTCCCAGTGAGAACGAAATCTCAGCTGAAAATTACCAAATCTCCTCACTGTTGATGACCTCCAAGAAAACTGAAACTCGAATCGAGTGCTCCTTCCTTTTGGTGTGGACTCAGCGGAACAAGTATACCAGGGCGTAGAGGAGGAGAACTGTTCAAGAGACAGTGATGTGAACATGAGTTCTACAAATCCGAAAACCACGTACAACCATAATAGTCATCTCTATTCGCAGCTTCACGGCGGTAGGTGTGTAGACAACTCGTGATTGTCATGCTGTTGGATTTGGGCCTTACCAGACTCACTCATAATAACAAAAGAACGATACAGCATCCAAACGTGACCACAAATTCATTTCATTTTCCCTTGGTCTTCGGCTGCCACGATGCGCTTCCGTAGATATGTGACTTAATTAAGTTTACACAACACAGCCAATCGGAATGCGGATCGATTAGCGCTCCAGAGAGCGTTGACTCAGCAATTTGGACCGAGTGGATGGCGAAGCGCCGACATTGGCCATACTCGAGTCCGCTCATCTCCTTGCTCGGTTTTACGGTTGTAATTGGCACGAGTGGAACACAAACGTTATGGTCAGTATGTACACTAGATTGCATTTACCGTGGCACGCATTCGATGGCTCATGAGATTGCACTCATGCCGATTTTTTCATTGTTTAGCGCTCGGGTATTCCATTGTTCGTGTTTCAAGACGACCGTATTTGCAGTTACATTCTGTTGCTGTCTTCAGTGTACCTCCTATTTCTCTAACAGTTGATGAGTTCTGGACAAATACTCAACAAGAAATCATGTTGCGTTTGTCCTTTCACGTTACTTCAGCTGCAAGCTGTGGAATCATTTATGAATTCTGATACTTACCACTTCAAGAAAAGAACGCATTTTCTTGCACTTCATGAGACGAGGTCACACATGCTGTTTTGAAATGCCATCCATAGGGTCATAAGTGAGTTGGTCAATTTTGAAACACTTTTCAAAGTGCCTAAGTAGCAACACAGATTACTCAGGACATGTATGCAGCAAATAAACGGTTATTTGTTTCGGGGTTATCGAAGAATACACTTACGTCCGAAGGTTGAGCAACATCCACCGAGAGAATACCACGTAACACGGAACTAGGAGGTCGTTCAAATTTTCACGTATTGTGATGCACTCGTTACTCAGACCAAGATGTGAATATACGGAGTGTCGTTCAGAGGGGACTTACGGATGGGTTGGGTTTAATACCAAGACAATGACAGGTGCCGCACCGTCAAATAAAAGAGGTTAGACTGAATGCTAAGTATTTCAAAAATCGCTGCATGTGCCCAGACTCGCTGAAGTGGAGCAACTGAGGAACCAAATAGATTTCGCCTTATTTTAATGACGGAGAGTCAAGCTTCCAAAGGTTGCTGCACCACCACTAACCTACACGGATTTTTCCGAAATATTCTCCAAAAAATTCAACATCTTGACAAATTTCATTCTTTAAGATATGTGAAATTATACGAAATTTCAGGCTGCGAGTAACATGAGGACCCAAGTTCATGACGACTTTTCCGCCTCTTATTCCACCGTTGGCTATGTTATGATGATTGTGAGCCCCCAGTTTTCCCTAGAGTGGCATGACAAGTTGATGTTGGCGGCAGTTTGCTATCGGTTTGTAGTCCAGGTGTCACAAACAGTTCATTTCAAGACAAATGAAAATCTCTGTACGTCGCCAGCTACACTAATTATTTTGGCGAACTTGGCATCTAGGATTGCTGATACCGGTTACTAAGGCATGGACAGAATGGTAGCTGTTGGTGATAAACCAAGATAATTCTCAATTTTTGCAGCTGAGGTGAAAATTAAGTACGGAACTGACAATCTGTTCATCCGCTTTCCGTCATCATCACAGCCTACATCATTAGACAGCATCCATGCCAGGTGATTCATGTTTCATTTTCCACGCCGTAAGCAGAATGTATCCATGTGTCCAGAATGGATCACAAATTCTTTGTGATATTATTTCTTTGAAAGAATATTTTCTAGACGAAGCTATGCAAGAGCATGTTAACAATGATCCAGTCTTCTGACGGGTAAGCTAGGCGTCTGGGAAAAACTGCAGATCCATTGCAGGCGTTCACCACAAGCCCCATAGTAGTGAACGAATATAGATAACTACGTACCTGTTCATCCTCCGGTCTGAACAACCCGAGCATGCAGATCATTCAGACGGTCGCATAAGCGGATCAGCAGAAGCGGCTAATGACACTACCCAGCATGTGCATGGACTGGTGGGGCCTAGGTCTCTCTACCTCGCAGTTACGGAGGCCAGTGACCACCCCCTAAACTCTGAAGAACTATGATAAACTTTAGCGAAGTACCACTCATTTGCAAACAAATTTGGTTCTGCGAGAGACTCACCTGGAACCCAGCCGAATCTTTCGTTTGTGATGTTTTCATGCTAAACTTTAATACCAGTTTCGGTTAAATGATTATAATGGGACGCAACGTGTATAGAATGCATTGTTACGTACGACCTTCCGAAATATGATTATGGCGGGGGGGGGGGGGAAAAAACCTGTTTTAGCGATCAATGATGGTGTGTTACATGTTAGCCACTGTAGTGCTAAATGTCTGAATTAGCTACACGGATGAGCCCACTTTGAAATCAGTTTGGTCTGCAGTGGAATGATCGGAGCAAATACGATTACTATGCAGTTAGATACTCACACTACTAACTCCGAAAGATGGAGTAAAAACCGAAACATATGTATGTATGCATGTATGTCGCCGGACACGCAGTATTTCGGGGTTTGGGGCAGGGATCTAGAGTCCGTATAGAACTACCCACCTAACAATAATTCATCGATGGTTGATCAGGGGGCTGTGGATCTGTTCAGCGAGCTTGGGAATTATCTAGCAAACATCTCACCACAAATCGAGGTGACATCATTAGTGCGCGGTTGGTGATCAACCACCAATGAAAGCATTCGAGCTACTCATATTCCGATACATTTCTAGCAATAATTCTAGGAGCGATAAAATGACGGTTTTGTAAGTATGAATCTGTATCGTTTGACTAGTCATGATTCAAAAGCCGGAGTTAATATGGTCGAGTAAGTGCTGAGTACACGATAATCTCGAAAACGTATTCCCTGTTAAAGCCATTCGGAAGTACTGTCAGATCTCTACGAAATAGTTCGACCAGTAAGTAAAAGAGACAAATTCGTGTTGAGCCTGTAGATGACGCACTAGCTTTCCTCTATCACCTTCACCTATATACTCAGAAGGGAAACTGAATTTTGCAATCGCATGCACATCAGACCGAAATCGGTTGTGTTAGCTGTTGACCATACTATAGAGGAAAATGTCAGTAGCTCAAGTAGCGTAGATGATCCGTTGCCTGTTCGCTGGGCTGAACAATTTGATTGCAGACGTTTCACCACCAATCGAGGTGACATCATCAGTGCGTTATTGGGAAGCGCATTGGTACGTAGCGGTGGGTTAGTGGTTGCGCGTTGGGTAGTCTTACGCGTGTGTTAATATACGTGCTGCTAGCAGGGTATGACCTTTGATCGCGATTGGTTGTTCGGTCGGTCGGTTCCATTGGTTGCTCCGTTGTCCCCACTCGCCGGTACCCACGTGAACTTTGAGCTTGGCATTCCCTGCCATCGTAATCTATCTAAGCCTGGACTGGCCTCAGTCCTTTCGAGTCCCAGCTTGTGACCTTTATTGATTTGACTCCGAGGAGTTCCTTGTTTCTTTGTTTGTGAATCCAATATTCGATCCTCCTTGAGTGTTCCGGTTGAGATGTTGGTCTTTTGCACGTAGGGGTGCGTAAATTGGATCCAGTCTGATGCCCCGGTTGGTCGAATCCGGCGTGGAGTTCCATGCTTCCAGAAATTCTCTTCCGTGTCTAATATCTCCGTATGCCAAAATTCTTGCGTTTTCCAGATTGAATTTGTGGCCTTCTTGGTACTCATGTGTGGATACCAGGGACAGGGACCATGTCTCCTGAAGGCCGCGTTGTGTTCTTTTATTCGTGTGCATACTCTCCTCCGCCGGTACCACGTGAACTTTGAGCTTGGCATTCCCTGCCATCGTAATCTGGTTAAGCCTGGACTGGCCTCAGTCCTTTCGAGTCCCAGCTTGTGACCTTTATTGATTTGACTCCGAGGAGTTCCTTGTTTCTTTGTTTGTGAATCCAATATTCGATCCTCCTTGAGTGTTCCGGTTGAGATGTTGGTCTTTTGCACGTAGGGGTGCGTAAATTGGATCCAGTCTGATGCACCGGTTGATGGAATCCGCCGTGGAGTACCATGCTTCCAGAAATTCTCTTCCTTGTCTAATATCTCCGTATGCCAAAATTCTTGCGTTTTCCAGATTGAATTTGTGGCCTTCTTGGTACTCATGTGTGGATACCAGGGA